TTTGTGTCATCCTCGAGTGCGCAGGGGCCATGCCCTGTCTCTTATACACATCTAGATGTGTATAAGAGACAGCCCTTATGTTGCACACCACGCTTCTGTCGTCTACCAGCTGGTAGATTTAGAGCGTAGTGTAGTTGGCCTGTCCCCCCGTGCTCGGGAGTGTGGCGGCTTGCAGTTTTGAGTTTTCCCAAAAAAAAAAAAAAAACAGTCTACTACAAAATCCAGCGATCACAGTCTTTAAAACCTTTCACTCCTGCTGCAATGCTTTGCTGCACATTGCACACTAAGATGTAATCTGTAATACCAACGGGCCTAGCTCAGTCGGTACACCCGTGAACGGGTGAAATGCAGACCCAAGCAGACCCAAGTTCGAATCCCGATACAATCAGATGAGCATTGAACTCTGAACAGTATAAAATAATTTAAATAAATAAAATAATTATGAACAACGGGCAAGAATCAACGCGGGGAAAGCGAAAAAAAAAAGAAAAGAAGAGAAGAAGAATAAAACAACCTCAGTGTTGCTAGAAAAGAAAAGTAGCATATCAGCAATAGATCGGCTGACTCGGCGCTAATTTTCATTTTTGTATTTTTAAAATTAAAAAATATTTTTCGTAGCCTGGGTTGTCTTTTCTATCTTGCTCATCTGTCTCTGTCTGTGTGCTTCTTTTTTTTTTTTCTTTTTTTTTTTTTTCAAAGGGCGATGACCTCGAGATATCATAACCGGCCACAGGTGATTCAGGACTATTTTCCCCCCCTCCTTGTCCGATTGCATCCAGATTCTAACTTCGGTCTGTACTTCAACAGTCCGTGTGTGTACTAACTGAGCTTGGCCCATTGCTCTGTCTGTCTGTCTGTCTGTCTGTCTGTCTGTCCTTCTGTCCGTCTGTCGGTCTTTGTATGTCTGTCTGTGGGGCTGTGCGTCTGTGTCTCTGTCTGTCTGTCTCTTTCTGTCCATCCGTCCGTCCGTCAATCCGCCCATCCGTCCGTCTGCTTGTCCGTCTGTCCGTCTGTCCCTTCGTCCGCATGTCTGTCTGTTCGTCCGTCCGTCTGCCCGTCCAACCATCCGTCCGTCGGTCTGTCTGCCTGCCTGCCTGCCTGCCTGCCTGCCTGCCTGCTTGTCTGTCTTTCTGTCTGTCTGTTTGTGCTGTTGGTATTTCAGGGTTATATTGCAGGATTGCTGTGAGGTGGCGGATCACACCTTCACTCAACAACAGATATTGAAGATGGAAACCACTGTTCTCAAAATTCTCAACTTCCAGTGTGCTATGCCAACAGTGATGAGTTTCTTGTGGTAAGTGCATTTTTCTGGTTTTGTTTTGTCGTCATCAGTGTCATGTCTATTTGATTCCACCTTCTTTTCTTTGTCTCAAAGACCTCCAGGTTTGTATTAATACTCGAGAGTTGAGACGCAGTGCCATCTCACCAACAGTAAACCCTAAACCCTAACTCGCTGGAGACAGTGGATTGTCGTTGGCCTAGACGGTCTATACCCCGTATATATATTATAATAAGTATATGTAGCCTGGGCTAAGAACCGGCCGTCCAGCTCACGTTGGCTGCCCAGGCACCCCAGCCAAGCAACGGCCAGGGAAGGTCCCTCTAAAAAAAAAAATAAAAAAAAAATGCAATTGCCCTGTTTTCCCGGGCGGCCCGGCCGTGCAAGGGTCAGGGAAGGTCCCAGCGGAAACCCCCAACCCCCCCGCAAAAACAAACCCGGAAAAAAACTCGCAAAAACAAACCCGGAAAAAAACTATGTTATGCAAAAAAAATAACTAAACAACTTTCGCCTCAGGGTCACATCGGAATTCTTTACCAAATTAAAAAAAAAAAAGATATAAAAAAATCTTTTTTTTTAATTTATTAATTTTTTTTTTTTTTTTTTTTGGCCCGGCTGCGTGGTCCCGGGCCAGCCTGGTAGCCTAGATGAAATGCAGAAAAATCAACTGAAAAACTTTTGCCTCAGGGTCTAAACGAAGTTCCTTGCCAAATTAAAAATAGAATAAATAAATAAATAAATAAATAAATCTTTTATTTATATGTCCGATTATGTCGTCAAAAAGAACTGCCCGGTAAACTGTCGGCAGAGAGCGAGAAGAGGACATATTTATATATAACCATAGGCAGAGAGGGAGAAAGAGGACAACAAACGAGGGGCTGTGGCCCGACCAGGCAAGTGGGGCCTGTGCCACTCTGGTAGCCTAGCTTGCAACTGCGCAACATGCCACACGGTGCGGTGCAGCGCGAGGTGTGGCACCTGTCCTTGCGCCGTACCGGCAGCAATTTCTTTTTTTCCTTTCTTTTTTAATATATGCGGTTTTCACCAGGGCTGGTCCCCGGATGGACCGAGGGGCCCTCCTCCAGCCAGGAGCCTGCCAGTTGGACCTGGCGGTCGACCGTCCCGGCAGACCCCCGGTCCAACCCTGCGCATCACGCGTGTGTAGGGGGGGGAGGAGGAGGGGGGAAGGGGTTACCAGGGAGTCACGGGCACCCCCACGATTGCCCAGACCCCGGGAGGCTGCTGAATCCGTAAAAAAAAAACAAACAAACAAAAAAAAAAACAAACAAACAAATTGGGGCCTTGTGGACCCGCTTCTTGACAAGCAGCAGCGATGGACAACCACCGCGTATGTTCTTCAAGATGCGGAGTCCAGTAGGCCCCGGCTTTCCAATTTGGCAATGTGTGGTTTGATGGGCCACGGACCAGACATAAGTAACCGGTCCTTGTACTTGTCCACCACGAGCCGAGAGGATGCAAACGAGGAAGAACACGATGTACTTCAGCTGGGGCTTGCTGAGATTATATTCGTCTTCGACGTGGCTACGCTCTTGGCTCAGAACACACTCTTGGGCTTGCATCTCGTGGAAGACAAAAGCATCTTGCCTGGCAGTCTGTCCAGACACGTGTAGTGCAGCTGAGGCCCATTCTTGGGCTTGCACGTCGGAAAGAAGTTATGGGTTTGGGATTCGTGAAGTCGAAGTCAGAGTAGCAGCAATGTTGTCCGAGGTTCAAGCCGAAGAAACGGCCTCAGCTGCACTACATGTATCTGGAAAGAATGCCAGGCAAGATGTTTAGGACTGATGAACCACCGTGCGTCGAAAAATCCAACCAGAAAAGGCTTTGCCTGCACGAGCTCAAATCTGAACCCATAACTTTTTGTCCTCGAGCGCGATACTCTGGAAGAAGTATAAGTTTTGGCAAGGACCTCGGGTCAGCATGTCTCTCTCGGCCTCTCGAGTGTCGTGGCTACGTCGAATGATGTAGCCTGTCATGCCTTCAGTGCTGAATTGAATTTTTCACTTGGGGGTCAAGCAACTAAGCTTGTTTTACTTAACCCCTCCGCGTGAAAAGAAGTCCTATCTCCCTGGACCCACCCATAAATTCGTTCTTAAGGGGCTAAAGGGGTTCAGAGCTGGGCACCCACCCATAAATTCGTTCTTAAGGGGCTAAAGGGGTTCAGAGCTGGGCACCCACCCATAAATTCGTTCTCAAGGGGCTAAAGGGGTTTTCAGAGCTGGGCTACCTTGACTGGGAACTTTTGGTATGTTACAAAATCTACTTCATTGAACATTATTTATTTTATATATTGTTATATTTAAAATTTCAATCTTAATTCTTTTGATTATAAACCTATGCTACCAGCCGGGGCGCCCTGGTCACTCTATTTTCCCGGGCGACCAGGCCGTGCAAGGTCCAGGGAAGGTCCCGAAAAAAAAAATTCGGCAAAATCCGAAAAAAAAATTTATGTTATGCAGAAAAATAAACTGAACAGCTTTTGCGTCAGGGTCACATTGAAATTCTTTACCGAATTTAAAATACAAAATTAAAAATATATATATTTTAAAATAATTTTTAGTTTTTTATTTTTCTATTTTTTTTTGGCCCGGCCGGGCAAGTGGACCCGGGCCACTCTGGTAGCCTAGTTATAAACTTTATAGTAAAAGTTTATATTGACTGTATAATAATAATAATATCAATTATATCATTATTAATATGTATATTTCATTTACAATTTTATATGAGTAATCAAGTAATGAATTATCAAAAAGAACTTCAACTCTGCTGCTCCTCAATCATCCCTTTGGTATGTTATGAAATCTCCGTCGAAGCGCAAATGGAACTTTCAGGGAACAATCATGGAGGGAAGGAGAAAGACAAAAGCACAGACACTTTATCGACAATGAACATGGAGAAGAAAGTTGGCGGGGGGGGGGGTAGTGTCAATTAAGGAGATGTATTTTTTTTCGGGGGCGGGGGGGGTGGTTAAGCTGTTTAGAGGCGTCTTTGGCAACGATATGCTGAACAGTTCGTTACTTTGGAGAGCACTACAGAGGGGTCGAACATGGCGAGCATGTTGGAGAGGGCAATGGAGACTACAGTTGTTTTTTTTTTTTTTTTGCTTCATCTTTACATCACTCTCCATCTGTTTCATCTATCAAGGGAAGGTACATGAAGCTTAATTTTTTTTTTAATTTTTTTTTTGTCTTTCCTTGTTCAGGCATTTTCTGAAAACTGCAAAGGCGGACAAGAGAATGGAGCGAACTGCAGAGCACATCGCATGTCTCTCGATGTTGGACGATACGCTCCTCGGATCCCCGCCATCGCTCGTTGCTGCAGCAGTTGTCCTGTTGGCGTCCCATAGCCTCGACAGAGAGCCATGGAGTGCATCAATGACGGTGAGCAGGGAGGGATATGGCCGAAAGGCGAAGGGAGATAGATGGAATGGGTACAAAAAAAACAAAAAAAAACTCAGCAGATGTCATGCTAGTGGTGCAAGCTCGTATCCCCATCACTAGCAAGGCCAACTGGTGTTACAAAAAAAACAAAAAAACAAAAAAAAACAAAAAAAAAAAAAGCACCCTGTGTACTTGTATTTTACGCATCTGCTTCCGTGGAGTTCGAACTCGGGTCTGTGTTTCCACTGTCCAGGGGGGGGGTGTACCAACTGAGCTACCGTCTTCTCCCGAATAGAACGCCCACCCGGTCGTTATTGCCGTATGTGGACGAAAAGTTGCACCGAATGCAACTAAAATGACTGGGCGTTCTATTCGGGTGAAGACGGTAGGCCAGTTAGTGCTCTATTTGATCTTGAATTTACAGACTGGATTTTTTTTTTTTTTTTTTTTTTTAATTATTATCAGATATTAAGCTGAGCAGAACAGATACTACAAGTGGAGTATCTGTTCTTATCAGTTTAAATCTGATCCGTGGTCCATCGGGTCACACTAGAAAAGAAAAACAAAAGAACAGAATCAACAGATAGCGCTAGTGCTAGTGCTAGCGGCCTGAGCGCTTGTACTAGCAGCGCTGCCGCAACACTGGCCTAGTGCCCGAATGCCCCCTCACAGCCCGGCACTTTCCTATACGGAAAGTGGCTGGGCTGTGCCCTGAGCCTCGCCTGGGCGGACCTAGTTTCCACTAGCTTCACTCTCGGACAAAGTGTTTGCGCCCAGACCCGTTCAGACAGTGGGCCCAGGCCCGAATTGGTTAGGAGGGCCCAACCACCCAGGAGCAAACGTGAGGTCTGCATGCTTTGGAAGACCCTGAAATGCTCACTATTTTTTGTTTGTGATCCTCACGGGCAGCTCGTATGTAACCAACTGGCATGATGCAACTGTCTGCCGCCCACCAAGCCTTGCCAAATTGACAAATACAGGGCTCATGCCGATTTTCATGCCCTGCGTTCACTTAGGGCACTCACACTTGCTGCAAAGGGGCCCCGCAGGGCCTTCCGAGGAGAGCCAAATCCTCTCATGCTCTCCTCCTTCGATACCACTCTCAGACGTCCTTAATCTTTTTTTTTTTTTTGGAACAACTGCCCGTATGGGAGGTAGGGGCGCTGGTACGAGCAGACGCCTCTACCTCCCATATGGGCAGTTGTTCGTACTCACTCAAAAACGGGCGCCCCCCGGGAGGCTCCGTCTATTGGTGGTGAGCAACACCTGCCGGAAATTGGGCCCAGCGTCCCTTACGCAAAAACGAGACGTCCTTAATCTACAACCTGCTTTCCTTTTAGAGCTCTCTTGTAGTTTTTCAAACCATCTACGCGGAGAGCAGTTTTCAGGGCGAGGGAGGTGCTGGCGGTTTCCATTCTCGAGTATGCGTGGGCGAGGGCAGTACTGGTCGTGTCAGACCTTGCTCCGACGAACCATCTGCCGAGAATCGAAAGAAGACCGGGAGGTACTGCGGAGCAGTTTTCAGGGCGAGGGAGGTACTGGTCCACCAGTAATTGTTCTCGTGTACCACCGGTCGTCTTTCGATTCTAGAGTATGCAAGGGCGAAGGAGGTACTGGTGGTTTGAGACCTGGCTCAGAAACATTTGCTTGGTGTCATATGATGTGTATGCGGTTTTCGACGAAGACTTGAACCCTTCACCTCTGTCAAAATAATCAATGCACATGTGTGGGGACTGCCTAACTGAACAAGGGAAGAATGCTGCCCTTCTTTGTTGTGTGCCTGTGATTGCATCATTGCAGGCATGGTCTGGCTATTCTCCTTTCGACCTGAAGAATTGTGTCGAAGTAAGTGAGTCACTGTTTGTGGCAACCAGCATGACCCTCTCTCTCTCTCTCTCTCTCTCTCTCTCTCTCTCTCTCTCTCTCTCTCTCTCTCTCTCTNCTCTCTCTCTCTCTCTCTCTCTCTCTCTCTCTCTCTCTCTCTCTCTCTCTCTCTGTGTGTGTGTGTGTGTGTGTGTGTGTGTGTCTGTGGGCTTGAATCTTGTGATGGGAAAATTAAAAAAATAAATTGCAACTGGTAAAATAATAAAATTGTATGTTGTGTGGGGTTTTCATGAAGTGCATTTGTCATTGTGAGGAGTCCGATTTTTTTTTATTTTTTAATTTTTTTTAACGAGACCGGGGTCTTATGGACCTGTCTGCTTTCTATCATGGGGAGGTGTTTGTAAGGAATTTATATTTAAAATTTCAAATGAAGAGTTTGTAACTTTGTGAAGAATTTTCTGTGTTGTGGTTTTACCGTTTTGGAGCATACATGCAAACGCACGCCGTGCAGAAAATTGTGCATGTACGGGGCCATGTTAATCTTCTCTGTATCTCCGCTGCAGTGTTATGTGATTGGTTCCAGGAAATGGCTTCGTTCTCCCTCCATGTTTGTTTGTTTGTTCGGTGGTTCGTTTGTTCGTTCATTCGTTCGTTCGGTCGGTTGGTCGGTCCGTCGATCCGTCCGTCGGTCCGTTGGTCCTTCGGTGGGTTCATCAGTCGCTCGGTCGGTCGGTCTGCTTGTTTGCTCGTTCGCTCGTTCGCTCGTTCGGTCGGTCGGTTGGTCGGTCCGTCGATCCGTCCGTCGGTCCATTGGTCCTTCGGTCGGTTCATCAGTCGCTCGGTCGGTCGGTCTGCTTGTTTGCTCGTTCGCTCGTTCGCTCGTTCGTCCGTTTGTTCATTCGTTCATCTGTTCATTTGTTGGTTGGTTGGTTTGTTTGTTGGACCATTTCTCGTTTTTTGTGTCATCCTCGAGTGCGCAGGGGCCATGCCAATCTTCTCTGTATCGTTCAATTTTTAGCGGATGTCCCCAATGGCCCCTCCATATAAAAGAAAGTTTAAAGAACAACAAAAGATTTCTTCTGTTCCGCCGAAGGACCCTGGAACAAGGACCGTTTTTTTTTTTTTTTTAATTAACAAGTGGACCCGCCGCAGCTACGACGAAGGACGATGGCAAAAACATTGAGAAACACCCCAGCCATCAGTTGGACCCCTTCTTTGCAATGTACCCCTAGTGGACGCTGCCCAACTTCGCAAAACGGGCCGGCAGTCGCCAAGTTTTCGCAGGTGCAATTGCAAAAGGCCAAGAAAATTTGGACACGCACCTGACAGGGGCATAACACAAACATGTCAGTCCAAAAGGCCATTCCAACTCTCTCTCTCTCTCTCTCTCTCTCTCTCTCTCTCTCTCTCTCTCTCTCTCGGATTTTGCTTCTCCTATGGATGGAAGTAGCCTCTCTCTATCTCTCTGTGTGCATGGCTGGAAAAGTCTCTCTCTCTCTGTCTCTCTCCCTTTGACATCGTTTAACAACAACAGATGATGGATCGTCCTTCTCCCACTCCCCCTCCTGCTGTTCCTCCCGCTCTTCCTCCTCCTCCCACTGCTCCTCCTCCTCTTCCCTCCTCTCCCGCTCCTCCTCCTGGTCGTCCCGCAGGCCGCGTCTCTCTCTCTCTCTCTCTCTCTCTCTCTCTCTCTCTCTCTCTCTCTCTCTCTCTCTCTCTCTCTCTCTCTCTCTCTCTCTCTCATCCTCCGTTTCACACCACTTAATGCCAATCTTCTCTGTATCGTTCAATTTTTAGCAGATGTCCCCAAGGGCCCCTCCATATAAAAGAAAGTTTAAACTTCAAAGAACAACAAAAGATTTCTTCCGTTCCGCCAAAGAACCCTGGAACAAGGACCCTCTTTGTTTTTGTTTTTTTTAATTCAAGGTTCTTGAGAGTCTTTACTGAATCTTTAATTCGTTAGATGCCTTGTTCCGCCGCCTCCTGCAGTTACTTTTTTCTTTTTCTTTTTCTTTTTCGAATAGGGCAACATGCCTTTGTGATATCATCTTTAACTGACCGGCCCATCACGATCTGAACTTGATTGGCCCGTTGGGGCCTCCTTATTTTACTCTGTTCATGTGGTTCATCTGGAGTCGAACTTGGGTCTGTATTCCATCAGTTCGGGGGTGTCCCGACTATGCTGGGCCCGTTGGGCTCTCTGGCAGGTACATGTGTTTTGGGGCGTACTATGTACGCAGTACTATGCAGCGGAAATAGCATTCAGTCAGAACATCGTTGGAGCGGAATACCTCCCTCGTGAGGAGGGCTCTCTCTCGACCTGGGTGTAGCTCAGGCACGACAAAAAAAAGAAGAGAAACATCGACACAAAGGAGAGCAGCAGTATGATGCTATGCGTCCCACGGTCGCCGGGCAGAACCCGAGGGCCCCCGGTTGTGAACGGGACCCCCGATCATGAAAAGGAAAAAAAGAAAAAAAGGTTCCAAAAAATCTGAAAAAAAAAAACACAACTATGTTATGCAAAAAAATAAACTGAACAACTTTCGCCTCAGGGTCACATCCAAATTCCTTACCAAAAAAAAAACAAAAAACAGAAAAAATGTTTGGTTTTCTTACCTAAATAGTAAATAATAAACTGAACACCTTTTGCCTCAGGGCCATTAACAATTTTTTTAGTTTTTCAGTTTTTGAAAATAGACGACAAGGAGAGCAAAGCCAAATCCGGGAAAAAAAGAATTGGGGTTGTACAGTTGTAGAGCGCGAAAATACCTACAAGTTACAAGACTACAACCCCTTCTTTTTTTTTCTTTTTTTTTTTCTTTTTTTTTATTCCCGGAGGTTGCGGCCGGAACTTGGCCGCCCGCAGCCGCTGCCTGGTCGTGGTCCCGACTGCTGGTCCCAGGAAGGCCCCCGGACATGACCCGGGGGCCCAAGATTCATAGGTATGACTGCCAAGGTGAGCTTGCAAGCTCTGGAAACTAAACTGCAATAGGGAGAATCAACCAACTGGGTCCCTATCATGCGGGTGTCTTTCCATACGGACAGATATATACCCCGACATACGGGCCTCAACTGCAAGGGCAGGTATACCCCGACATACGGGCCTCAACTGCAAGGGCAGGCTGAGGACAGCATGGACCTGTACGCCGAGGAGCCCAGCCCAGAGTACCAGAAGGCCAGGTGGGGATGGGTATCTCTGCCCTTGCTGTGCGCATAGCATGTTCACAGACCATGCCACCGAGCACACACAGCTCATGTACATAGCACATGCACAAATAGCACATGGACCACATAGCATATGCACACATAGCACATGCACCACATAGCACATGCACAAATTGCACATGCACCACATAGCACATGCACACATAGCACATAGCAGATGCACCACATAGCACATAGCAGATGCACCACATAGCACAT